ACTATAAGGGTTTCAGCATCAGAATACAAGTTTTTCGGTTTTGAGGACTGCTAGCCAGCCAAAAGTGCAGCTAGTCAAGCCTAAGGGCTTGAGAGACTTAGTATTTGGATTTTGGAGTGCAATTTGGCATTGATTCTAAGTCTTAATTATACTTAAACATTGCTATAAACTACTCTCACAAGTATTGCATCTTTGAAAGCAAGATAGAGTTGAATAACTGTCTTTATTGACTGTTTCTTTGATTTTATTTAAGACTGCAAGAGTGCTTCTATCATACTCAAAACAACCAACCTCAACAGTATTTGGTGATTGTGTATTGAGTGGTTAGGTGTTGGTGATTGAGAGTTCATTCCTTATTTGCCTCTCTTACTCACTTAGCCATTACCAAGCACATCACTGAGTTGCTGTGGAGTGGGATGAGGGTGCTGAGTATAAAAACATGCTTTGAATAGATGGAGCCATGTATGCAGCTCATTTCAGGATGACAGGTGGCAACCTCAGTATTGATTGTATGGGTTCTGGCATTTGATAAGCTGATGGTCATTGAATCTAGTCTTTGAGGTGTTTCTTGTTATACTGTACTGCAGTGTAGTTGGTGGCTGCATGCCTTAGGATTTCAATTCTTTCATTAGTTGTAGAGTGCAAATATAATTGTCCCATTTGCAATGCTACTCAGATAGCATCACACCATAAAAAGTTTACTCCCCACAGGTAGAACTCCTGGTATTCCTGCATCCTTGCCTTCTGTATTGCCTGCCCAAGTTCTTCTTCATCTGTATCTTCCTGCAGCCCATAGGTGAGTTTCCTGCCAGTGTGAGGTGGGTCACTGCTTTCAGTTTCTTCTCCCTCATCCTTGTCATCCTCCTCTTCCTCAAGGAGAGAAACAGTGGGCAAGTCATAGGAACTCTCTATGCTCTCTTGCAGTCATGCTGTTGATCTGCTGTCCTGGCTGGGTACTAGATCCAGCTGTGGGGCCTGAAAAGTCTGAGGCATTAAGGTAGGTGGAAGCAGGCTGACTTCTGATATCAGAGTCATACCAATTTCCTTCTGTTGCTCTTGCTGCCACTACTTGCTCACAATAGAGCTGGACATTTCTTCTATACCCATCATTGAGGAGTTGTCCAACCACTCAACTCCGAAGGAACTCTCAGAGAGTGCAAGCAGAGATGTGGGCAGTGCCAGGGACTTGTAGTCTGTAATGTTCAAGGACAAACTCATCATCTCCAAACATGGTATCTGCACTGGGGGTTTTTTGGGAAGGAGGATACTACAGGATTGGGAGATGTGGGGCAGTTCATGGAGAGGCCTTGTTGCTCCTAATCCTGGCTGCATTAGCAGTAAGGACTTCTGTATTTGTCCACCATTTGGGAGCCTAAAGGTCAGAGTTGGTTGTGCTCAGCTTCCTGAAGACTGGAATTGAGAGAGAGTGGTCAGCATGGACAGGCATGAGTACTGATGCAACTTCTAGTTGGAGCCTGTATCAGTTGGGTATATCAGCTCTTGCCAGCTGGTCTCTCTCAACATTTTGCTGCTGCTCTCTATGCTGCTAATCATGCTTGGTGGCCCTCCTGGCCTGCCCTTAGAGAATGAGGTGCTCCTTCAGCTCACTACAGGATGGCTGAGGAATGCTTCACTGTTTTTGCTCTTCTTGTCAGAGGGCTTCATTATAGTTGAATGGAACATTAAGATCCTATGCAGGAAAGAGCCAGTGGATGATTTTGTTCCTGTTTTTTCAGATCTGATGCTTGTCATTGAGCCAGTCTGAGAGAAACCACCTCAGCCCACTGCTAGTTCTGACCAAATGATAGATGAAGGGAGTGGGGCTGTTAGGCTGGCCTTGAGGTATTGCATGGCAGGGTTCTGCAGCCATCTGAGTGGGACTGAGAGAATCTCTGGCATAGTTATCAATCTCAGAGGTTTGAGAGATTCTGGAAGGGTCAGAGGAGGGAGACTGCTGAAAGAAGTTCTCCAGGAGGTCCTTGTCCTCATGGTTGAGGATGGGGGTTCATTGCCAAGGGTTTCTGAATCCTGTGAGGTGATCATTGCTGTTTCCAACAGGTCAAGGAGGGTACTAGTGTCTTTCTTCTTCTTGATTGTGCCTCTGATGCAAGCCACTAGGCCCAGCTTCTGGTAGGGGGCTGATCAGAGGCTGGTGGAATGTTCATCAGGATTCAGAGATGTCATGGAGGGGTAAATTGGAGGTTACATTTTGGAGGATTTGGCAAATGTGCTGGAATTCATTATAGTGTCAGATAGCCCAAGCAGTTATTGAGTGACATCCTCAGCACAGCTGGATGATCACAAGTAAGCCTAAAAGTGTTCTGATGATAGAAGATAAGAGTTTAAAGAACTCTTGATCAAAGTTTGAGTCATTTGGTGTCACAGCAGGCATTCAGTTTCTCAGCACAATTGGGCTTGAGAAAGAGAAGCTAAAAGCTTCAAGCTAATTGTTAGACTCAAGCATCACATGAGCAGATCCACATGATAAACAGAAGTCCCTTTGCACTTTGAAAGATCAGCTGAGTTCACTGATGTAGATTCTAGTCAGTGTATCACAGGGCCTTTGAGAATTGGCTTGAGGGTAGAATGAGATAAATAAACTTTAGCTTGAAGCTGGAGATTACCAGCAAGAGCAGATGGTCTTAAATACTGTACAAGGTCTGCTAATAATACTACTGCCTTTTGTATGTTTCCAAGTCCATTGTGCCCATTGTCCTAGGGTATCGCTATTGTACATAATAGAAGGATTGTGCATCATCAGGCAATGCTGTTGCATTGAAAGACAATGACAGACTCAGCTAGTTGTGATGACTAAGCTTCATCCCACAGTCTTAAGCACTCATTCTAGTGCTCTGACTAAGCATAAATAGGGATTAATCCATGAGGGAAAGGGAAAAATCGTAACAGTGCTTATGCAGAAGTACAGTTTCTATGATTCTCTCAATGGCAACTGCAAGCTCCCAGTTGTGAATCACAACTGCCCTGCTGCCCTAAACAGTTTCCATCAAGACAAAGGAATCTTTTCATGCATAGGGAGCCATGAAGATAGTGGTTGTTGAATGGCTCATGCAATTGTCACCTGAGCATATAGCTGACTAGTAGATGTGGCCAGGAGCTGTATATTTGTCTATTGAAAACTGCCAGCATCTCCCATGCTCTATTTTCTTTGCCTTGTTTCTTCATCTCACAGCTGTTTTTGTTTTAGGATGGAAGCCACAAATCCCTTCTTCTACATATAGGCCTCTATCTGCATTTATGTTCTCTGCCACCTACAAGCAGAGATGACACTACATGCTTTCAGATGAACATCTGGATAGGATCAGGATTTCTGGATGATGTATGGCACACTGCAAAGTATGTGATATTACCCTCTTTCATGTGGCCCAAATCTCACTGCAGTTTGCACTAATGCTTACCCAATTTGATAAACACTCGTGCACCATGAGGATCAAAGGCTAGGTGGGCGCACCGCCTCGACTAAATACACCCATGAATCTCGTAGTGAATGCAGGCGACAATGAGATGGCGGAATTTCCATCCTTGCGGTCCGAACGTCGACAGTCAGAATAGGTGTGTCACGTTTCTCTGCTCGGCAAGCATAACCAATGGAATCAATCCGATCTTTCAGATGGTTTGTCTCTATGACTCGAGAGCAACAAGACAAAGGTTCGCACTAGAAAGGATGGTAGAAAAGCAAGAGGTCGGGGCGCTCACCGTTTTGACACAGAAACACTCAAGTTATACTAGATCTCATCACCTGTCTTGTTATATATTTTGACTAAGGGCCCTTTGGCGCAATCGTAACTACACTAAGTAGTGATTTATGATCTCGGTTCAAATCCGAGAGGGTCCATCTTCCTCCATTCACCGTTTTCATGTGTAGGAAAATAAGATACACTTTGGTTTCCTGATTCATTATTTATATTAGCTCGGTCATTTTTTATGAAAACGGGTCAGTGGTCACACGCAGTCTGGACTTCGTCCCGGAAACTTTCCGTACCTCTCTCGACAAACGCCCAGAGACTTGTCGTAATAGGCCCATCGAAAGCATGTCAAATCATTGTAGATTCGTAGGAGAGCAGACAATGTTTTCTGCCGCAGTGCGTATTTAATACGTAGAAGCGGCGTTGACAGCTTAGACTTCCAATGGCGGTCAGTCAAGGTCGATGTGCAGCGTTTGGAGGCAACAGATCAGACATGCCTAGCTAAATATACGACCTTTAACGAAGATATTCATTGTCCTATCTCAGACCCAACACTTTCCCCAAAACTGCAAAAAAAAAAGGTAAGAAAGATCAAGAAACGGAGTCGGTACACTTGCGAGCATCGATCGAGCATTCAGAAGTGGTAACGGGCATCACTGCAGGAGCGCCGTTTTCTGTTTCATTGAAAAGAATCTCTACCTGATGTCCTGGTTGGAATGAATGAGGCTTCCAAGCCAGTGTGATAGTCTGCTTGTATCTCTCATTTGGATGCAGAGACATGACAAAGGCTAGAAAAGACTCGGCGAATGCCTTATCATGTTATGAGCAGGTTGTGTAGCGCAGCGGGAGAAGCCAAGTCTGGAGTCGAAGGTCAAAAGCTGAGGAGCGTTGACCTCCGATCTCCAGTATTGGTTGCTACGATTATGTAAGATAAGAGTGGTGTTCTACTTCAACACTCCCCCTCGACCGAACATGTCTACGGAGGTATTGAACGTGCTAATTCGATGATAGTCAACATTAAAATTCAGATGTTACGACATTTGGCGCCAGCAAGGAGCCTGCAGATCTAAGAAAGTGACGCGCGTTTGTAGCACCTAATAGAGTACACTGTTAGCTATAATGTAGACCTCACACAGCGTAGCGATAAGCAGAAACGCGGTGAGGGTGCTCGACGGACCGTATTCAATATATATATAGTCCATCCCGACATAAAGGGGTATCGAGCTCGGCCGGCGGGATACGACGGAGCTCCTGCTTGCTAATCCAACAGCAGACTGTTGTGAAAACGAGTTTCTGGCTGTTTTCATTTGGCGACCTTCGATCGATGATAACCGGGACCTCAGGCCTCATGTCTAGATACAAACAATGACGACCACTGAAGATCGAGATGCTTCCTGATTATTCGTTCCCCACATTATCCCACCAATTGTCTTCCTGAATCATTGTCCTTAAGGCCTGAAACATCCAGGCGCTCGCCCGTACCCGACAGCTACAACAAATTCCCTGACTGTCGACAGTCGTGATCTAATTGATGTGTCAAAATGAGTAAAATAAGAAAGGCGTAGCACTGACCCAGAACCTGCGTCAGAGTGGGGTAGCCTACACAAGTAAGATGCTCTAGTACACAGGGAAAACTTATGGGAAAGGTCTCAGACTGTCTTCTGTGCTAGGACGTGATCCCATGAATGACGTTCAATCGCGTCAGCACAAGAAACGGTAAAGGCGAAGATTATGATCCCGTAAATTTCAGAAAGGATATTTCTGAAATCTAATTTGGTAGTAGTCATCTAAGCAATAAACATGGCGAAAAAGGAGGTGACTCACTCAAAGGTCTACGGGTGGCCGTCCCGATGTATAAATTTATAAACCGTAGGTCACCCTTTTTCTCTGAGATGCAAAAACGATCATGAAAATGGCGCGCGCAGTGATGATATGTCGATCCTTTTATTGCGCGCCCTATCCCTCCTAAGCTGTGGACAGGTTGGACCATGTCTGACCTGATTCCTGCAATGATGGTACCCCAAGACCTTTGAAGACTGATAGGGTCGATTTCTTCGGCATCTGGTGGATCATATACAACAACGCTCCAGTCCACAGGCAGCACACTCAAGGATGATGTCGCCTCATTGAGCTTTATAGACACTTGAGTTCGGAACAGTTGGTGACGATTCAGCCACCAATGGCATCCCATACGAAACTTGATTTGGAGATTGATTCACTCGATGCTGGAAAAGCATCTGCGAAAGCCGAGATAGTTGGGCAGGCTGCAGAAAACTGAATAGGGGTCTTTGGCAGCGTCATCCGTCGAATTTGTGAGATCGACATAGCAAGTTATGGTACGAGTGGAATCGGAAGGAAGGCGACCATAAATTGGGGAATCGTCCCTTGGGATGATAGAGCTGAGATATAGTAGATATGCGGCCGTAGGGACGTAGATGTCTCGAGAAGTGATACGTGCGTAGACGTCCCTCCAAATGCTGTTGATAAAAGGGCAGGCTTTCATAAAGGTAATTCGTCCGCTTGAAGGATGCTCGGAGTACCAGAATTCTGTGATAATAATGTCTACGAGCTCGGAAGGTAGCTGAATGTCGGAGATTGTATGCATAGCTCGTCAATGTACGTCGAAAAGGGAGAATTTTCAGGACCCCGTACTTATGTCATTTCGGAACGACTCGGGCCGGCCTCATCCGCTGAATTATTGGTGGACTATTCTTTACTGTCACACTCGACTCCTTCAATTTGGACTGTTTCCAATTGGTAGTAGGTGAAACAGCATATTCAATCTTTCGAGTAAAATTTCTCTCATTTCTTTCATCGCCGCGTTTTCTCTTTAGTGAGAGGCTGATGGGGCATAAGTAGGCTCTGAACGATACTTATGGAATTCGAAGATCAGGGGGCTTTTCACTTTCCATGCAGCGGCCCGCGCTTCTACGGAGAAATTTGCTTCTATAGATACTGCTCTGGCTATCGGAAAGTTGCTCTCTTGCGGACAATTTTCTTTGGGATACGAGGTTCTATCCATCGACTTGCTTTGCTCCTCAAAATAGTACCGCAGAGCTGCGACATATTTTGCTTATTGTCCAGGACGACCACCACGGGCCGCCGAGTATTTTCCGTCCGAGCACACGTTTAAAATCCAACCGCAAGGCCCAAAAAATGATTCCAACGGCCCATCTTCCTTTGACCGGTATCTCTGATGTTGGCGCCTATCCTTACCGCTGTTCTATGCGCTGGTAGTGTATGGGCTTACAGCGATCCACCTTCAGGCGCCGTCACCGTAGGCTCATCTGGGACGTATGCTACCCTGTCAGAAGCACTAAACGATACCTCTAGCGACGTGCGTTCAAATTTTTCTTCGGATACTCTGGTTGACTGACTTTCATGTAGATGTACTTCGTCCATGCTGGCACCTATACCGAACAGGTTTACATCAACAGGAGCGACATCAAGATTTATGGTGAGACCACGACTGACGATAATTACACCAGTAATAGTGCGTGTCGGAACCTGATCTCTCTGAGCCTGACCGGCCTTACTCCTGTGGACAGCGGTCACCATTAGTTACGGCTTGGGAGCGAGTGAAGCAGGCTCGAACGATGCTAGCGGTACAGTCCGTGTTCATGCAGAGAATGTTGCGCTGTATAATCTGAACATCGAGAATTCCTTCGGCGAGGTGGGTTGTTCATGTGACCCTGGAGATGTGATCAGTACCTGATCAATGCTCTAGGGTGTATGTACTTATTTCATTCTTTCGTCGCGCAGATCTTGACGCCGATGACATAAAGGAACAAGCTATTGCTTTGAGTGTCCAGGCTACCGACTTTGGTGGGTATGGACTGAGTATCGTCGGCTATCAGTACGTTCTTCAGAACCTGCTTTGGTACCGAATCTTACTCTTATATAGGGATACTCTTCTGGCGAACGTTGGCTAGTGAGCAGTTGCTCTGTCTTCTCCGCACCCTTTGTTGATAGCCTCGGCAGTGAATTTATCGCTAATTCCTACATCGAGGGTAACACAGACTTTGTGAGCCCCCTCTGTTTCCCCGTCTTCCACTGACTCCCTTATCCGAACACAGATATTTGGACAAAGGGCCTCGTAAGTGCCAGTCCTGCTCATTCCCATGCAATACCAATGTCCCGCAGTCTCTGGATAACCGGTTCCGTGATCAAGGTCAGTTTCCTCTTCATCGTAACCCCCCCTCCATGGATTTACACCTGCTAGACTCTTGGTGACGGATGGATCACCGCTTCCGGACGCTCTTCAGATGACGCCTTTTGGTACGTTATTGACAATTGTGAGATCACTGGTGCTGGAGGTGCATACCTCGGGAGACCATGGAGGGATTATGCCCGGGTCGTGTTTCAGAATTCGGTCCTAGGGAGCAATGTCCCGTCCGAGGGATGGTCCATTTGGAATGTCGGGTGAGTCGCTTGTGATGGTGTTGGCTGGGCTGAATCTTTCTTTCCGTAGTGATGAACGGTATTGACTCTTCTTTGTTGTTCTCAGATGGGTGGTACTTATGATATTCTATGGTAGTACTGACAACGTGACCTTTGCTGAATACGGTAACACGGGCGACGGGGCTGATACTTCTGGGCGAGCCAACTTCTCAGAGGTTTTGGATAGCGCTGTGGATATTTCGACAGTGCTGGGTTCGACGAGCTGGATTGACTCGTCGTTCCTGTGAATACCTTAGTCAATCTTCATACAGATGAAACAATGCACTTAGCATATATCATTTTCTGTACGCGACTGCTGTCATAGTGAATAACTTGTGTAAGGTTCACAAATACTGAAGCAAATTGATAGTTTAAGGGATGCCTTAACTTCGGCCGTGATTTTAGATGGGCCAGCTCGGGCACAGTGCTCCAAGGCCTCTGCCGTCACAAAGTAGAAAGCTCGACGGACCGAAAATGTCAATAGCTTCGCGGGGCACGTAGAGATGGCAAAAACATGTCAGAAAACGACTTTTATTTGCCATGAATAACAGTTTACAGGGGGGAAGGTTCAGCTTTGCCAGGCATGGAATCGTGTACTGCCGTCCCCAGAGAAGACGGGATAGAAATAGATGCATACATGCACATTCCAGGACAAGTGCTCTCCGAGTCGCAACACAGAGAACAAGGTCGATGCAGCGAGTATTCCGGCAACGCAATAGCTCTCGCTGCATGATGCCTTCTCCCATCTTCGTCCACGACGTTGTCTGTACCGCAGAGTAGCAACGATTCGAAAAGAATGCAGGCATCCAACCCAGCAGAGAATGCCAAGGGAAAAAGTGGTAAGTACAGCCTTTAAGCGGTGCACTGTCATTGCCGGCACCCGTGCCAGTGGATATGCACAACCATGGGAACCCAAGTAACAAAGCGTGTCAAAAGTAAAATCCGGCAGCCAAAACGTTCCAGAATGCGACCTTTCCTTGCTCTGTCTCCAGTAAAAACACTGCCATGGCCGCTAGCGACTACGTCGACGACGATAAAGAAGAGCTCGTTGCGCCTAACATCGCCAAATAGGATTCACATGACATTTGAGCCGTGGGCTAGGTCGACGACGACCTTCGCGCCAATTTTGTGTGTACATTGATGGATCCCTATGCGCAAATGTCGCTGGCCCCGATACCAGAGCAATCGCAGAACTGGGCGTCCGCTGCGCCCACCAACCTTACAGGAAGAATGGTTCCATCTGTGCGTTCTAGGCGCCTATTTTTTTGCAATGAGCACTGACCAGTTCCTAGGTCCGTCCTCCTGTGACGACCAAACCCACCGATGAGCAGTTCTTCATATACGATGATCAAGGCCACTCAAAGCCTAATCCTCACTTTCTGAGGGACCATTTCTTCCAAGAAGGCCGCTTAACAGAGGCACACGCCCTCTATATCCTCGACCAAGCGACGAAGCTGCTGAGCAAAGAGAGGAACCTCGTCGATGTCAGGAGCCCTGTAACGAGTGAGCCTTCATTTACTGTCTGATGTGTTCGCTCCGCTTACTGAGTTAGTATGCGGTGATATCCATGGCCAATATGTGCGTTCGTGCCACTCGTCACAAGCCTACCACTTGATGCGTTCAGCAGTATGATCTCATGAAACTATTCGATGTCGGGGGCTCGCTGAATGATAATTGCTATCTATTCCTTGGAGACTATGTTGACCGAGGTTGTTTCGGAATCGAGGTACGTCCAGTTGAACCTGTATTCATGCTCCGCTGATGTCGTTGGCAGTGTCTGTTGTATCTATACACTCTCAAACTGTGCTATCCAACAAAATTTGTTCTACTACGAGGTAACCATGAATGTCGACATCTAACTGAATATTTCACCTTCAAGCGAGAATGTGAGTCACCCTGAATTTCGTTTCCTTCGCATCTGAGTTTGATCAAGGTCTTCACAAGTACTCACAGGTGGTGTACGAGGCTTGTATACAATCATTCCAAGCGCTTCCCCTTACCGCTGTAGTCGATGGCCGATTTTTCTGTGTTCATGGTGGCATATCACCCGAGTTGGTATCACTTGACGATATACACAAGGTTCGTAGATTCAGTGTCGTATTGGTTTGGATTCGACGTGACTGGTACCTTTGCTACAGCTGAATCGCTTTGGAGAACCAGGCTCCAGTGGACTCCTCTGTGACTTGTTATGGGCGGACCCCATCAGTAATTTTGGGAATGAACAGGAACCATCGGCCATCGGCCGTATACCCCCAGGAACTCCCTTTCTCTCCAATCAGACTAGAGGATGTTCGTATTTTTTCACGTATGTTCTACATTCCTGTCATTCCGTCCTGGTCTAACACGAAGTAGTTATGATGCTGCGTGCGCGTTTCTGGATCGGACAGGTCTCCTCGGAATAATACGAGGACACGAAGCGCAAGATGCTGGGTACGGCCTTGCTCCATTTCTAGTCCTTTGCTCATATTTGATAGATACACCATGTACAAGAAGACTCCACAGAAAAAATTCCCTTCGGTCATTACCATATTCTCCGCCCCGAACTATCTGGATGTATACCATAATCGCGGAGCCGTGTTGAAATATGCAAACAAGAATATAACGATACGACAGTACAATTCTAGCTCACATCCTTATTGGCTCCCCAACTTTATGGATGCTTTCACGTGGAGTCTACCATTCGTCGGTGCCAAAAGTAGGCTGCTTTTGCATTCCCCAGGGAGTATTGATTCAAGCGTAGAAACGTGCAGTCACGGAGATGTTGTTGGCTGTTCTAAGCGTGTGCAGCGAAGAAGAGCTCGGCGAGACAGATTCGGACGGCGAAGGCGATATTCAGGCTCTAGCAGAGGCCACAAGGGATAATCAACGGCGAGAAGAGATCAAGAACAAGATCTTGGCAGTGGGGCGGATGCAAAGAGTGTTCCAGATCCTTCGGTTTGGTTTCCTTACTTTCTTGAAATCTAACTGGAGCTGACACTCACCTGATAGGGAGGAAGCTGAGACAGCTTCTGAACTCACAATGGGAGACGAATTATCGAGGGGTAGAAGCGACGCGCTGGGTGTTCAGCAAGTCGGCCGGAGCATTCGAACCTTTGCCGATGCGTCCGTGGTCTTCTTTGTCTTCTCTCTGGCCTTGAGATTGATTCTCTTTCAGACGCCGATCTGATATGATGAATGAGCGGATCCCGACGTTCGAGCCGACGGTCCCGGGGACGTTCCCTGTCCCTAGTATGAGATACCCTGGTAGAAGGGGAAGTGCGGAGGGTGAGGGTTTCGACATGGACACCCTGATAAGGCGGACGCTGGAGGAGAACGACGCCAGTGGAGTCGTTGAGAGGCTCGCTGAGAAATTGGCAAAGGAGAGGAAGCCGACAGGTCGGCCAATGCCACTGAAGAGGCATGAGACAACATAATTGCGGCGTGGAATGGACTGCAGGATCTCGCTTAATATTTTCTATCTGCCTTCTACCTCAGCAGTGTACTAATTTATGCACGATTTTAGCAGATTTTCCCATGAATGGAGGCTTTTTTACTTCCGTCCGCCTTTGGCATGATCGTGTTTCAGTCGTTCTTGCTACGATGTGCATACATGCATTGTCCTAGACTTCACTGCTCCACGTATCAAACCATGAGTCAGGTTTTGGATGCCAAGGAATCATCATCATTGTGCAGCATTTTTACAACGTGCGCTGTTACGGCTGAGACATTGACAGGCATCTGGTGGCAGTGGCCGAAATGATATATAAATAAAAAGGTGTTCATTCCAAGGAGCGAGCTTCGATCATCCTAGGGCGACCGCGTCAAATAACTACGCTCATGTTCGTTATGTCTGCCATGTCCTCCATGTTTTTCCTCTTCTCCTTGCTCTCTCTCTTCTTTACCGGCACGGAGGCAGCTGCCGTTTCAGCAATTCCGACTCTTTCGTACAAGTTCACCCTTGCTGCATTGAACACGTCGCTACCAAACACGAATGACACGGGTGTGCCCTTGGTACTCGGGCAAAATGGTGTGCGGCATCTTTTCTTCGTAAAACAGGCTATTTACAGGAAACCTAGGCGCAACTGATGGAATGACCTTCGAGGTGACATCGGCGAGTGGTACCCATTCGGCACGCTTCTCTGGATACTTATCATTTAAGTTTCTAGACTTACGCGTCATATCCATACAATGACTATCCTTATATCTCGCTCAATGGGGGCAGTCTCAAGGCATACCGCTCTTCGGGCATATCCATCACGAATGCCACCACAGTACAGAGTGGGGGAGAGCTCGAGTGGGCCACGAGCAGTTTTTACAGTGCAACCCCTGGTACGAGTTACTCTGCAGTGACGCCCCCATCCGGGAAATATGCTGTTCTGGCCGTGTTTGGGAATGTGGATATGTGGTCCCTGTGCCCTTCGAGGGCGTTCCGTGGGCAGAATAACGTGATATATAATGTTTCTACTGTGGCCTCTCCATATGCGTCGTATATCCCCTCGGATTGCTGTAAGGTTACGTTAAACATCGTGCCGTTATAAATTAGTGCGTTTCTTAATACTTCTTCACAACACTCAACTTAATCTTGAAACTTTACAGAATGCCTTAGATAAATCTTCTTACAACAACTTTTGGGTGCTTAGTCCGTTACAGTTTAGTTACTAACTACGCACTTGTCTGTTAGATCACCTATTATAGCCGTTTGTATACAGGTTGACAGTCTGTGATGGTTTTGTGAATGATGAAAAGAATGCTTGGACTTGGTCATAAACCGGACTTTGGGGACTTCGCGCGCACAAAAGGGGATCCGAAATAGCCTTAACCGCAAAAGAGCGCCAATGATGGTTTGGCGCCGCCATCGCCGCACGAATAGCTAAGACTTCTAGACAGCTTTCCGGGATAACATGAGATAAGGACTGCGCGAAAGGACCAGTCTTAGCGTAGGTCAAGAAGAAATACACGATACAAAAGCAGGTTGGATACAATTTCTTTGAATTACATCAGGTCTGACCGGGGACCTCTATTACTATACACTTAAATAGCACGCAATTAGTGAAATAAGTAATAGTATCACCAAGAAATGAAACAGCTCGGCCCTCCATTCAGTCAATCACAATGATATCGTCTTCCAAACGGTCATCAACACCATCCATCAGGATGACCCCATCCTCATCCAAGCGCTGCTTCTTACTCGGACTCGAGAGTGTATCCACCTTGATGCGCTTCGCCGAAGGCTCCACATCATCATCCGTGGGCGCAGACCGCTTCAGCGTCGACATCTTCACCGGGGAGTCGGGTATCACTGCTTGCTTGGGTTTTCGAGGTGCTTTGGGCAATGGTGATGGGAGGATAAAAGGAGGAGCATCGGCTGCGTATGATTCACTGAGAAAAGCATTAGCATCTCGTCTGACGAAATACATGAGACTTACGGTAACAGTCCAAGAGCGACGGTGATAGTGCCCCATTCCCCCTCTTCGTCCGCAATTGCAAGGAGCTTACCTCTCGAAACGTTTAGGCTCTCGAGGCTTCGCTCAAAGTTGTCATCCCAGTCCGGATCGCTCAAGACCCGTTTGTCCTCATACACGCTCACTTCTCTAGTGTCATCCCCCATAATACCTTTTACTACATCACCCAGTGTCGCTCTTGATGGATCACACAATACTTTCGTATACGTATCCCTACACACGCCGCAGCTGGGATTCGGAGGACACATTCGTATCGCACTGAGAGGCACGGATGGCTTGTTTGCATGTATATGCACGCTCCGCAGACTTGAGTATGATTTCCGTAGAAGATGGAGCGCCTGCAACACGATCAGGCCGGATACTATAGCGTTCGTCGTGGCAATAGCGGGTATGATGTTGCCTGCCATTTCTAGAGATGGTTTTGTCATTTAAACTTTCCGGGGTGCAAACAGATGATATATACCTTTAACTTCCCATCGTGTCTTGCCCTCTATACCATAGGCAGCGGAACGAAGATTCGAGGAAGCCGTGACAAAGTCTAACGTATCATCGTCGTCCTTATCGAATGAAATGATTTCTTCTCCGGCTTGCAAACGAGCAGCCAGCCGTCCCGTGCTGCAAATCACGTTTATTTCCAATAATTGGGGCTATGGAGCATGACTTGCCTCGAAACAAACAGCAAAACGTTATCTCTCAACGACAACGGACGCTGATCTTTGATAGCGGATGAATGGCCATTAGCTGCCCTTGAAGTACTAGCTTGCCTGTTCTGCCCATTCGATGGATCGTTCTGTCGTAGAACAAACGTGTCGTCCAGAATTGCGTCAAACTCTAAAGGGATTGGGGGAGCCCGAGATCTCCACATATCGGACATTGCTAAGAGGTTTCGGATATCCGATTTAAAGATCTATATATGGCGTCAATACTCAACGACAAGCAGCAACGTGTTGATAACCTTTTGGAATACCATCTTTGCGGCGTCTTTTGAAGGTGTCCGTAGCGCTTTACGAACGCTCATGAATGCTTGAGCTTGTTCACGCAGAGTTGCTATTTCTTGCGCTACGTGAAAACAGTAATCAGAATGCCGAACCAAACTCGGTTGATGAAGGGCTTACCGTTTTCTCCCTGTTTCTCGGCTTCATCCAGTTCACCAGATGCGTCCTCATCTTCACCGAACAGCTGTCTGCAGTGTGTCACTACCTGAGAGTGAGCTGAGCCATAAAGAGCTGCACCACTCACCCCATGAGATAACTCTTGCTCCATACTATGCAATGTATGGGCTGACTTGGCGTTGACCGGATAGTACATACGGGAAAGGTTTTCGGTGTTGGTTTAGGCATGCAATCAAAGCATTCGGTAAGGTCCTGTGCCACAGTTAATAAACGACACGAGGATCGGAGAAAAGGGGCGTACCTTGACTAACGGCTGGACTTGGCCGAGGTAGCCTGCTGTCCCTGATTCGACCAAGGGAACATTGGCCGCCATACACATCTTATTGACGTGTCTCCGGGCATCTATGCGATTCGTGAGAAAAGCCACTAAGTGAACTTGAAGACATACCGAGGTTGTCCAAGGCGTTCAGCACGAGATCAAAGTTTTGAAACCACTCAATGTCGTACTGCGTATCCTTGATGTTAGCGAAGATTGGTGTAATTTTCACGTTGGGATTGAAGGACCCGGCAGTCTGAGCGGCAACCTGAACGGGGCGTCATTGCAGCATGGAAAACAAAGACGCCAGCTGTCCGCACCAGAGCTTTACTCTGCTTGACATCCTTTTTCCGAAAGAGAAACTGGCGGTTGAGATTAGACACGTCAATCGTGTCGAGATCGAGCAGCGTAATTTTTCCAAACCCGGTCAATACGATGTTTTTCACTGGGTGTAGATAGCGTTAACAACATGAAGAATATATAACTAGTTGAGGAACGCACGAAGCTCGCATCCAATTCCACCAGCACCAACCAGAAGAACTTTTATATCAGGTAGACGCGCATGGAGCTCGGGCCCAAGAATGGACTCTGCATGAGCTGTTCGGCGACGAGCAGTAGACATTGCAGAGTACAGTCCTTCGGTATGGACCGCGGACAGACGTAAGAAAAGATGAAAAGCAAAAGAAGACAATAAAGCCTGGTGCGTGCAAGGCTTTTCTTCGAATCCTCACGTCGGTCGACGCGGTGGAATAAGTGGGAGATACGGGTCACACGTGACACGTTACTTCTCTTGTGTGCCTGAGACGTTGAAAACAAACAAGTATTTTCTCACGCTCCGCAGGATTCTCGTCCCGGCGGTGGACATGGTCACGGTCCATACGACATTGCTCGTGTGCAAGTGGAGTTACCAAGCAACCGGATGAGTTCATCTCGAAAAGGTATTGACCGATATCGATTGTAGCTCGTCCTGGTATTTATTTTTCCCCATCCATTGGCCGGAAGCATTTCAATTTTTATTCAGGCAGCTTCTGGCCTATTTCCGGTTAGAACATTCACACTTTTTTCCCGAGGAATCTCATCTACTTATCGGACCCAACACTGTTGTTTCGCATCATGACATTGCCTGTGAGCTGTGTTGCCCTATCAACGTGACCACCCGCAACGCCGCAGGCAACGTTTGCCTTCCACAATGGCGACCACCACCCCGACTGGCCTTTTGCGCAAGAAAAGGAACTTCAAGGCCCTCCAGCTTCCCCCGACGCCTATAGAGGCCGCCCCGAATGGCCTAAATGTGCCTACTCCGCAGCGAACTGGCATGCGCTCGGCCCTATCAACTACGCTTGCCGACCTCAATGCAAATTCAAATACCAGCGAGACCGAGCCAAATAAACGATTCGGCACGCTGCAAAACGATGATTTCAGGAACTTGGAGGAGCTGGGAACCGGGAACGGTGGGAGCGTTATCAAGGTCGAACATTTGTCGACAGGAGTAATCATGGCCAAGAAGGTGCGTGCATACGGAGTCTATGTGGGTGCTAGTGGAGTGGTGCCAAGCTAATTGACCTGTAGATCGTCCTGATTGACGCTAAACCTGCCGTGCGGAAACAAATTCTTCGCGAATTGCATATCATGTACGATTGCGACTCGGTGTACATCGTGTCTTCGTATGGTGCATATCTCACCGAGCCCAATATCTGTATTTGCATGGAATTCATGGACAAGGGCTCCTTTGATGGTGTCTACAAGAGGAATGGCCCCATTGACATCCGAGTGGTTGGCAAAGTCGCGTTCTGTGTGCTGGAGGGTTTGCGCTACCTCTACGACGTTCACAGGATCATACATCGAGGTTCGTTTTTCTTATAACATAGCCCTCTTATAACATTTTTCTGCAGACATAAAGCCCTCCAATATTCTACTAAACTCCGCTGGCGAAATCAAACTCTGTGATTTTGGAGTCTCTGGCGAGTTGATCAATTCCATCGCAAATACCTTCGTGGGGACATCGATTTATATGAGTGTATGCCGTTTCCATCACCAAATTATATCGTCGCTAATTTTCGTATTCATCATAGCCTGAACGTATCCAAGGTGGAGATTACTCCGTCAAGTCCGATATATGGTCTCTCGGAATAACTCTAATCGAACTCGCACATGGTCGGTTTCCTTTCAACGACTCAGACTCGGACGACGAGGATGATATGATGGAAGACTCCCTCCGCCCTCCTACTATTACCCCCGACAGCCCGTTCAGTCGGCGGAGAAGCAGAGGTGTATCGCTTCATGGATCACTCATGACCATGAGCATCATTGAGTTGATGCATCAGATTGTCAAGGAGCCGGCACCGAGGCTTATGGCAATCGGACCGGATGGGAGGAGACGGTTCCCCGTCGAGGCGGAGGAGCTCGTTGATGCCTGCTTGGACAAAGAGCCAGAGAAGAGGAGCATGCCGGGTGGGTTGGCGGTAAGCTATTTCTCTACTGATTTGAAAGACGAGATTTGACAATTTTTTTTAGCAATTCAAATGGATAGAGATGTCCAAGAATGATCCCATAGATTTGAAGGCGTGGGCTGCTACTACCTAGAACAATTCATTGGCTCTGTGTTATGTAGGTGTATGTGTACCATTTTCGCGCTATTATTCTTGGATGTATAAGCATCGGAAACTGATAACGGTGACATAGAAGTGTGTACGTGGAAGTAATACATTAGAAGTTATGAACTCATCATATCATACATGTGAGTTTGCGTGCCATGATTACAAGGCCGTCAATTAGACATTTGTTGGCTGGGTAGGGGCTGGCTGTCCAGTCCCCGTATGGGTGCTTTCCGAAACAACTCCCTTATTTTTCTCAATCCGCGTACCGGTATTCGCATCGGACGCGAGCCCATGGGCCGAATGCATCAAGGCCATGATACCCAAGAGCATCAACAAAGACCAGCCTATCCAAGCGAAAGCAAGAAGCGTTGACAAGATGTTGCATTGCCTCCCGCCAATGATACACCAGTTGCGACCCGGGAGTATGCGGTTCTGAAGAATAAAACAGTTGAAATTAATGTTGGCGGGAGAGTGAGAGATGACTTACGGTGGTATACACGGCACCGACGAGCCACATCACCCACAGGATGGCAAGTCCCAACAGTTCAAAGGGAAGGTACCGGGGATGCCTAGCGTTATCTCGGGAGCTTGCAGCAAGCTCAACAAATATCATGAGCACTCTATCTCTCTTGTCAATTGATTGTACGGCTTGGGAATATGAGACGTAGACTCACACGAGTGGTACCCAGAGCACAGTGAGGATGGAAGAAACCAGAAGCTCCACGATGATAGGTTCTGGAAGTCTGTTCAACTAGAGATCAACCCTTCAGATGTGGGGGACGTACCATAGCCTACACCATAACTTTTCGTGAAGTGGATACGATACGCCGTAAGGGCCAGCAGGATGACGGCAACAGACCACTAGGATCATCTGGTAAGCAAACACTTCGAGTAAGAAGACCAAGACACTCACGAGTAAGGCGTAAAAGACCGCGCGACTTAGAGTGTAGCTGTTGGTACCTCTCATTTGATCTTTGTAGGGGAAGTGCACGATATGTGTAATGATTCGCCTAAGCCCCGTCCTTAAATGCGCGCCATGGAAGGGCCTGACGATGACATGACCTCACTGTATGTTTCATGGTATGTCATCACAAGAAACTTTTGAAACAATCCGTGCTTACAAGCGCGTATCTATCAGTCAGCCAGTCAGCGTCATTCTTTATTGAAGGATTGTATATGAAGCAAAAAATTTGACGAGTAACGTTCTGGTGACTTGCAGAAATTTGTTACGCAAAAGCGGGACCATGAACCTGAGAGTGGGAACATCAAGGGACGCGCCGTTTTCGTCAACTTCACCTTGCGCCGCATCGGACGCAAAGATAAGTGGTTCGCTGCCGGGCTTCGGCTCCGATGCTTTTAACCGAGTTCCGCTATTCTACGTCTCTACAGACTCCTTTTATAGGGGTCAATATATAGCATTTCCACTCTCTCCCTGATGATATCCGTACAATGAATTGTTACAGTTTATTTCATTAAATCGACAGAAGACGCCGATAAGGAACCGTATTCAGTGTTCTGCAGCCTGCCCAGTTACATTGGTTTTCGCAGATGCTTTCCCAATGTCAAGCGAATCAACCTCGAAATCAGGTGTCGCGTTGAATGGCATTGGCGCTTTTTGTATCGTCACCAGCTATTTCGAACTCGCGTTTCTATAGTCCTCGAGCAAGTACAAGCACAGCTGTGTATGTACCTGTTGACTGGAGCATCATCGTCGATGACCTGCCAGATGGTGAAGTCGTCGGTCTCATTGCTCTCCGAAAATCATGGGTTCCCATTATCACTTTTGATGTAGTGCAGTGTGGCCGAAACTTGGAGGGATATGGTTTAAAGCATGAACCTACCCCGCCGTAGAGAGTGAGGACACCTCTTTTTTTACGCTTCTGCTGAGTTAATGACTACTACCAGAACAGAAAAACATCTTCTCTGGAAGTCATGAAGACTTTGATTTCACGTTAACTCATGTAACGTGATTCAAAGTCGCGCTTGGGATAATGTTCTGTCGCAAGAAAGGAAGGTTTATCAATCATGGTGAAGACTACCTTTACTGTTTTGATTCTCTTTGTGATGTGTCCGCGTATAACCGCGTATCTATCAGTCAGCCAAGAGGAATAAGTTACAGGATGATTCATGTACAGAGTGAAAAACTCGACTTGTAACTTTCTGGTAACTTCAAGAGACTTAATATGCAGAATGGGACCATGGACCTGACAGTGGGAACACCAGGTAGGCTGGTGAGATACGCTCTTTTTGTCACCACCAGGCCGCTGCTCTGGACGAGCAGTGAGACTCAAAACGGCCTGTCTACATCCTGTCCAGTGAGTGCCTATGCAAAGGACTTTAATGATACTTTGAGATAGCAAAAAAATGAACAGATGTCAAGGAATTCCCGTAGTACTTAGGCCATGAAGCCTCGATAGCTAGAGACGAACATGGAACTAGAATTTCTACACATCCGCGGTTACACTGTATTCAGTATAAGTGCCATTATATTCTGGGTTATCTGCAGAATCATAGGAAATTTCTCCTTGAGCTCACAGTCCCAATTGGGCTTACCCAATTGCCTTGGGGTCTCCCGGACATGAATGAAACCACAGACGGGCGGATTAAAACCAAAATCGCAGAATGTGATGGGCGGTGTCGGTGAAGAACGATGACCATGACTGAGAGCTTTACCAGCCGACTGAGACGAAAAGGAGTATTCAGACTTTCTCCTCCGCGAAATCTCTAGCATTCCAAATGACGTGGCAAGATCGTCTTCTCTTGACGTCTTATGCTGAGACTCACAATACGGGGAGGTAGAAAGATTTGGGGTCGAAGCCGTCCGGTGGTGCATAGGGACCGACTTCCCATGCAACGAACGTCCCCTGGGAACATGATGAAGCGAGGATGTCGACGAGGCGTAACGTTGAGGCAGTAATACAACTGGAGGTCCGGACAAAGGGTGCTGTGACATTATGTTTTCCGAGCCATCGGTAAGCTGGCGTATATCTGGCAGCGCTCCATTAAGAAAAACATTTGAAAATGATAAGTACCCATACAGTACTGTGGTTCTCCGAGGCTGTGATGAAGTTTCGAATTCCTTTGGTAGTCTCTATAGTTCAAATTATCAGAATACAAGAACTTGAAGAAGAGCCTACTTCTGCATTATCGTGCGGTTTAAAAGACCCTATTTAGAAGCTCGAAGATGGAACTTGAAAAGGATGGCCTAAGATGAAACAGGCGCATGTCTCATTCGGACCATCGGTCCGGGATCTGGTAAATTAAAAAAAAAAAGTATTCATTTTGATCATTATTTTTTTTCCTGGAGGGATACATGACTGTTATTCTGCGAAATCAGAAAGATACGATGCAAAGATCCAATTGCACATACATCAGAGTAATTGCACGAGTCCTCCATTGTCCCATCCCAGTCCACCACCACGTCCAGACCCGTATTCATCAGGATTTTAACACACTCAGATATCTCATCTAACTTCTGTAAAAGTGTGAGCCTGCAGAGCCTCCCTAGCCTCGACGGTATTATGCTCTTGAACAAATCCGACGGCAACTCCGGAAAGTCGTCAGGGTTGAAGATGCAGGTGTTGTAGGTGTCCAACGTTAGCTCCTGCAGGTTGGGAACCAAGTTGCGGGCTCCATCCCCTAGGCGAAGGGTCTCAAAGACATCGGGGTAGTCACCATCAAGCATGCCCAGATAGGAAATCTTAAGATGATGTATATTAGGAAGGTTCGGAAGCAGGGTGACGAACGGTCCGCTTTCAGCAAAGTCACAGTATACCGAGGCAGGTGAGGTTGCATCTGGAGATCGCGAGAAAATTGAGGACCACGTGGGCATCGTTGGGATCACTGATATTTGAGCGCTTGGAGCCCTGGGGTAGATAGCCGATGAAGCATTGAGTGATTTTCAACTTCCAATGCCAGAATCTGGGGAAACTGAACAACATCGTAAGCGTGCCCTTCAACACGCGATTCATTTTCGCCGACGTGGCCGAATTCAAACAGGCGAGGACAATTTTGTAAGAATGTAATGTGGTCTGATGGAAGCATGTTCGTGATGAAGGTACGAAGTCGCGAGTAGGGTAAATCCATGTCATATATAGAATACGACCGTACATCGACCTTTCAAAGACGTGGTGCATCCCTGAACACATCCATATATCCATGAAGGGGAACAAACATGGTCAACGACTCCAAGTTACCCAAATTGCCTCTAATGGGAGAGAGTGTATTGGTGAGACTAAAAGAAGGACAAGTCCCGTAAAACTCCGCATTCCGCCATTGTTGTGAGCGACACGCGAATAAGCGCAAGATAGCGACAGATATCTCGTTCTCCTCCAGATTGATGGAGAAATCCAAGCGGTGGGTTCCACTGCGGTCCAAAACCATGCCCATGACTTCTAGATATAGTTCATCGGTTATCCCGACATTTGAGAGGCCTTCGAAATCTACGTCATTAACAGTCACAATGCAGCACCGGAAGCTCTTCATCGGGAAATTCTTCGAGGTAGGCAGAGGATGATGGTAAGAAAATTTTTTGGTCCACTCATGACCAGTGGTTCTGTCTAATATGGAAGCTCTCGGCGCGAGATTTATCCTATACCACTTTCTCCAGGGCGGAGACACCCTGAAGATTATATAACTTCTTTGCGGATGGGTTGCGCAACCCGGGAAGCGAAGCTATTCTCCGTGCGCTACCATAAAGTCTACACTGATATGGATCTATGCATTTATCCGGGGTTGTGGGGATGTAGGACCGGCCTAAGGCATCTTTGGAGATGAGCTTAAAAGCACCCGAAAGTAGGCCTGTCCGTGAAATGCAAGTCACCTTCGAAGGATCTTGTAAATGTAATGCAGTATACCAGATGTTCGATTCGAGACGGAGTACTCCATCTAGAGAAGTATCGTGTCTTGAATCCGGCAAAACTCCCTCATCGAATGTCATAGAGAGGACCTCAGCTTCGCCGTCTTCCTGCTCCCGCGGCCATTTCCTGCTCTGATTGTATTCGCCGACTGCTTTTCGCTGACTACGAACTGGACCCCGTGGCTTCTTCGTCGTGACTACAGCATAAGATTTGGGTGTAGCAGCCAAGGCAACACGGTCACTAGCTATGCTCCTCGGGAGTAAAGGGACTGTTAGGAATGGTCTGGGGGCATCGACGTCGGCAACGAGCCAACCAAAGTTCACCGAGAAGGGGACTGTAGATTGGCAGTTCCACAGTATTCTGTGCAACACGCTTCGTCTCTGTGATACTTACTCAGAAGAGCTTTTTCGCCCTTCCCGATCCTTTCCTTACTCTTTTGCCCCAAATATATTTAAGCTTCTCATCATTCGTCACCTCCCCAATACCACAAGATGTTTTCGTGAAGAGGAATGTTTCACACTCCGACTACTCGGACAACTGGAAAGCCTTGGCAAGGCCCTCCAGTTTTTTTCCTTCGACACACGAATCGAGTCTGAAGTAGTCGGGCCAGCATTTGATCACAGTGAACCGGAGTACCATACACGGGTCCTCTCAGCTCGTCTTCATCCGAAAAAGAGGCAAGGGGATCTCAGGAAGGGGTAAATCTGACGAATGGGACACCCCGAAGATTACTGCGGAGACCAAAACGTTGCGAGAGGTGTAAGCAGCGGTCTTCAATCTACTCATTTTTGCAATGCACCTCGAGACGGCCATTATTGATATGACGGATGACGGTTCTCGCCCCCTGTCAAGCTACACATTGTGTTGACGATGGATTCCCGCTCGGCGAAGTGGTCGTATCGAACAAGCAATGTCGTCGTCGCCAATAGATTCTTTATTCATCGAATCTATACTTAACAGGGAGATATCGTCCAATCACGGATACGAGAAAGGGAAGAAACTTACTTGACCCGTGTTTTTCAGCTACTTTAATTGGATATCTGAGTGAGAGACGCTATGACCCCTGACACGGAGGACGCGCCGGATAGATGATACCAATTGCTCTTTTTTCAGAATAACGAGAAACGGGCGCGTTGCTCGCTGGCCCTCGATATTGGTTTGGGTGCTATTCCTTGTATACAAGCGGAAGAATCTGCTTTTCCTCGTTGCATTGGCTGTTACATCGATATTTGCCAAGGCTCATGTTGACTGTACACCCGCCGCCACACATACGTGGGTTTGTCCGGCTTCGCCGAGTTCCACATTGACGACTACAGGCAGGCGCTTAATGTCATGTATGTATGCTGTCATATACTACGAAGACAATCAACAATCAGGCATCCATGGATACCGATAATAGAACTCAGACTCGCCTAGTATCCTTCCATACGCCTGTTATCCACATCGAAGTGGCTCCCCATAGACGATGTAATCTCTGGTACATCGTCTATCCTCGTGCATACGGCATGGCGGATAGTCGAAAGCCCTTCGCTCCTCCGAACCAACCTCAACCATCCGATTCCAGCACCGCACTCCCAAAACAAGGTTTACACCACCGATTCTGGTTACGCGAACGCCCCAGCACTGCGCTGGAGGATTTTCTGGCGGCGACACCGCCAATCTTGAAGGCGAGGGGACAACGAGCATAATGGTGAAAGTAGAGAACAAGGTAATAGAAAAGCTGCAGGTTGAGGTTTTACTCGGCGACGGGCAGCTAGGTCAAAGACTTAGATATTGTGGATGCTGGAAGTATTCATATCCCGGCGAAACCAGATACGAGAAGGCCACGCGAAGGGGAGAAGACAGGATATACTGGAGTGGTGTGAGTGTCTGAGCATTGGATGTGGTATTAAGGGTTTGATCATCTCTCAGCATTGATACAGTGTCAGCTTTGCTTAACTCGAATTCTGGGTCGTGGAAGAACTCGTAAAAGGTGACCGGCTATCCGTTTTTTTTAGTACAAGATAAGAAGAAGGTAGTAGCACACACCTGGGAGGAAGATTTTCAATCATCAAGTTCCTGCTACCTTTCCATTATCTTGTAGTCCTTTGTCGATAAATACTATGACCTCAACGAAGATGGATATTGTGTCAAGAGGTAGCAGTGTTCAAGAATGGCGTAAGAGACTGAAAAGCAAGTCGTCAGTAAAATGAAGGCCACACACACATTCCCCTACAGACCAGCTGGCCACCACGACGTTGCAAAGGTGAAGGAGGAAGGGTCGAGGAAGGAAATCCCGGAAGTGACCGAGTTTGTCAGCACTGGCTACTTCTTACACCACTTGCTGCAACAACATTTCGTCAAATTTGCGCCATTCCTTGGTAGGCTCGGTCTCCCGTCTCTTTCACAGGCCGAGGAGAACCGGGAATATCCTCGAGTCGTCGCTTGAGATAGGAAGTAAGCGGACACCGCGAGCCGCCAATCCGTACGTAGGTTCGGACGTCGTCATCTGGGAGAGGCTCGTATTTGAATGTGCCAGGGTCATTCTCGTCGGGGAGTGGAGCCAAGGCTATAATTCGGTTGATTAGACGAACTCAAGTTCACAGCAAAGAGAAAGACACACCTTTCATATCACTCTTAGTCAACGGCCCTACCTGGCGTCATGCGGATTAACGCGTCTTTATATACGATAAGGATATGAGTAACAGATGAACAAAAAAAAGCCAAATGTACTGATCGCAGTTTTCAATTCGAGCAGCTGACACTCCGTGTCTCTTGCTGTCATTTTCATGCTGCGAGAGAATCGAAAATTCACCTTTGCGACATTGAAAAAACGGTATATCATGTGGACCAATCAGTTGTACTCATTGGATCCATTTGTATGCCAGACATCCAAGGCCAACGTTGGACTCGTGATGGACAACGACTTCGACCACCCAGAGCTGAATTGCGAATGATTTATGTAAACGGCAGGTTATTTGTCAAAGGAGGACAAGGAAATCAGTGATGAGAAGGTGTGCCTCGCAGGCTAATTCAGCGACGTTGATGGAAACGGGGGGGTGGCTTGCCCCCCTCCCTCTAGTGTTGCCTATGACTCGGCTTATCGCAACTTGACGCGAGGCATTTCTGGGCGGTTCGTTCGGACTGTTCAAAAAATAGTAGTTAGTAATGTGTACAGGACACAGTAGTTGCTGCGCTCAAAATCGACTTTGGCCTTAAGCGAATAATCGGCAACTAATTTGGTAGCAGGATGATACTATTTCAACTGTCGGGAGGGTTGCCGTGACTCAGTATATGAAGGAAAAGAGATGATAAGAATGTTGGATGCTTCAGAGGCGTCGGATTCAGACAAAACCATCACTTTACACCTTACAGTACTAATATATAGTTGGTATGGCCCTTCGCCAGATTTTAGCCGCACCGCTCGTTGTGACAAATTGAAATACAATCGACGCCACATGACCACATGTTTCCGAAAGTTTACTTTGTCACCACCACCGTTGTTCTACGCGACCGAGCCTAAAAGCAGTTCAAAATGGCTTTCGCAGGATTCTTCCTTGACCCCCTGTTGTCGCTCTACCCTCCTCGAGCTTGTATGCCTTCCAATGCGAGCGGTTCCAGCTCTTCGGAGGATACTTCATCCTCCTCATCTTCACCCTCATCCTCGTCGTCGTCATCGTCATCCTCCTCTTCTTCTCCCCCCACTTCACAGAGAAAAACTCCGCCTCCAAATGGGCCTGTTCTCAAACAACTGCGCTCCTCTGTGCAGAGCACCCCGCTCAGCAATCACGCCCAAACCGTGAATCCAGCTGCCAATGCGGATTATCTTGTCGCAGATTTCGAGCGGTACATCATAGAAGATCTCAGAAACCGCGTTTTCATGTCCGCCGACCATTATTTCACTAATATTCTCCATCTTCCTCACGACTGGCGGACAAATGACGACATAAAATCCGAAATCAAAGCCCTCAAGGACAACGCTGTATTCAAGAATCGTGTAAAAACCTACGTTGCATTATGCAATAAGCGCAAGCCTGGGGAAAAAGCATTCTATCATCCCCATAGCCTGATGTGTAACAGCGCGTTCGACTTTCTCGGTGCCACTGAAGACTCTGCACTCGGAATGTATCGACAAGACGCGAAGCCAGTTGACGGCGGTTTGGAAAAGAACGTCCCTGACACCTTGGGTGTTCTTCGCGCCATGTTCAACAGTTCCGGAAACGTGGTTGACAACATGAAGGACAAAGGCCCAGAGTATAACTTTTCGTGGGCACAAGCAATGCATTGGCAGGAATTCAAGCCCAAGGCATACTATCTCGACGAGGGGACCGATGCTAAGTACAGAGTTCTAACAGCTGGTAAGCCTCCGCTTTTTGGACATTCTTCTGACTAATCCCCTTCATTCAGGCAAGAAAGATCCTCGGGGAAAAGTGCGGGGAAAAACCACTGTACATCGAGACCCTGGGAGCATCCTACCCCCCGTCAAGTCGCGCACGAGCTCCGCATCGAACAAGCGTCGTTTGGAAGACGACACTCGTGTCCGGTCCAAGTATCCACGCTCTGGAACGACGCCCGAAGTTTCGGAGGCCAGGAAACGGACAGAGCAATCGGCGTCACTCAGTTCTGTAAAAGGGAGTGTGCCAGGGGATAGAACAAAGAAAGAAGCAAAAGAATCCCGAGCGCGACGTGCAGTCCGGCTCCAGTGTGGTCGTTATGCCCTCGAGATGCTATCTAGCGCAGGTTTTCGGACGCACTGCATTGGTGCTCTTGTTGCGGCAGGACGCATACAACCCCTCTACTACGATCGCTCCGTCATCATTGTGTGCAAACCAATTGACATGTTTAAATCGCATGGCAAGCGGCCGAAGACTATCGAAGAGGTAGTGACGGATGAGTTCGCGGCAATGCTCATCGGATTGAGTCGCCTTACTCTGAAGCAGCGGGGCATCCAAGAAGAATTCTGCGATGACAGAGCGCTCATCGAGAATCACAAGGTGTACGTGGGTAGGTGTGGCAACCCCAAGGACAAGGAGAATTTCGACAAGACGGCTATCTTCGTTGGGGTGAAGCTGAAGCTGAAGCTAGGTGAAGATGATAAGAAGGTTGAGGTCACGCTTGGCCGGGTTATATCGCGTCAGCCTGGGATTGTCGGTCGGGATACTTGTGTCGTTGAGGCGACATCGGAGCACGAGGAGTGGAAGGGTAAAGAACTGGTCGTCAAGATCAGTTGGCCTGCTGCCAGTCGAAGATCAGAGGCAGAGTTTGTCATTAAAGCCAGAGAGAAGTCGCGATCCATGCGGCAAGGGAAAAGGCCGGACTGGGCGCTAGACCATTTACCCGACATTCTTCTTTCTCAAGACTTCGGCAACGATGCGGATTCCACCCAAGCGAATCTCGTGGCATTTTTCGCAAAGGCTTTATTCGCAGATGAGGAAAAGTTCGAGTATGAAAAACGCGTCTGCCGAGTCACCGTCCAGGAGAGGTTGTATCCTCTCGAAGAATTGCAGACGGTTGAAGATTACGCTCAGGTCTTTTTCGATATTTTGCAGAGTCCGTCCATTGTTTTCTTTGTCCTAGCAGGTTCTGACGGTCACCGTAGTTCACAAATGGCTGTATGATCACCCAGGAATCCTTCACCGTGATATCAGTCCCGGGAATATTATGTGGCGCCGAACTGTCGATGGTCATTTACGTGGAGTCCTCAACGACTTTGACTTGTCCTCCTACCGACATGAGACTGGCCCTTCATCGCGTCAGCGCACTGGTACGCTACCATACATGGCACATGAGCTCCTGATCAACGACGAAAATGGGCAACCACCCAAGCACCTCTATCGACACGATGTCGAGTCCATCTTCTACATCATCCTCCTTCTCTGTTGTCGTTACAAAGTCGAGGCTAAACAAGACCCCGCTGGAGGCTCAATCCTGGAACGCACGCAAGTCCGTTCCTCATTCGACAGCTGGTATAAAGCCGGTCGTGATGATTTGAATGACAAGAAAGGCAATTTCCTTATTACACATGGCCCTCCCATAGTGAATAGTGGCTTCACTGACTTTCAACCCTGGTTAAATGACCTTCACCAACAGTTTCTGGATGGACACTCTGCTCGAAGTTCCCACACCATCCGCCAAACACGTGGAAAAGCGACAGGCACCTTTGACGAAGAAACTCTGCAGAACTACGTTTCTTATTCGGTGGTCCTTAACATTTGTGGTGAATTTGCCGGTTTGCCCCTTGAAGTACACAACGACCAGCCCGAAGAGCTTGCTTAGTATGGGATAATCGTTGCTGAATATGTCCGTAGCATTATATAGTTTTGTGGCTTACATACTAGTTATTCCTTGCTGTGCCTGACCGACGTGTATACAAATCATCCGCAAGGCCTTGGATCCGGAGAGAGTACTTGATACTACAGTTCCAGCCCTGATATCAGCGTCTGTGAAAGGGTGTGGGACTTTTACTACCAGAAAGCAAAATTTGCCTTCACTCTTCAGTCTCCATAACGTACTTCCATCTCAAACTTTGCTCTTTATTATTCCATTATTCCTGTGATCCGTTATTGGAATTTCACCGGTTTATGTAGGATACAAATTCTAGTTTGGGGACGACCCTCTGCCACTCTTCAACGTCTCATTTTTCTCTGGATGTACACAGTCGTAGTCCATCACGATTCCAACGTTGGCCTTGGGTGTCTGGCATACAAATGGATCCAATGAGTACAACTCATTGATCCACCATGGTGGACCGTTTTTTCAATATCGCAAAGGTGAATTTTCGATTCTCTCGCAGCATGAAAATGACAGCAAGAGACACGGAGCGTCAGTTGCTCGAATTGAAAACTGCATCAGTACATTCATCTGTTACTCGTATCCTTATCGTATATAAAGACGCGTTAATCCGCATGACGCCAGGTAGGGCATGGGCATGATGCCGTTGACTAAGAATGATATGAAAGGTGCGTCTTTCTCTTTGCTGTGAACTTGAGTTCGTCTAATCAACGGAATCGTAGCCTTGGCTCCACTCTCAGATGAGAATGACCCCGGCACATTCAAATACGAGCCTCTCCCAGACGACGACGTCCGAACCTACGTACAGATTGGTGGCTCGCAGTGTCCGCTTACTTCCTATGTCAAGTGACGACTCGAGGATATTCCCAGTTCTCCTCGGCCTGTGAAAGAGACGAGAGACCAAGCCTACCGGATTTCCATCACGCTACATAGACGGCTAGGCCTGTTTGCGGCGCGCCAATTTAAGACGGGAGTCTTCGTTACTGCCCGTTTGTATACCAACCAATCTCAGTTTGTCAATGACGGGCAAGAGTGGAATAAAGTGACAGATAAACCAAAAAATAATCGGTAGGAATGAACTTGAAAATTTCCAGCAAGAGTTCAGCAGGAATGGTGCGTATTGACGGTATACGTGCTCGACCTCCTGATGTTACAAATTGCGCAGCTTCGCTTTCTACTTTAACGGGCATCGCTCTTTCAGCCTACAAAGAATTAGTGGTAACGTCATGGCCCAGATTTAGAAACATACGCTGACGGCGACAGAAGCCAGCATATCCAGAAGGTCAGGAGTCTCTGGCCACGATGCCAAAATTTCGCGAGGCATGTAGAAAATATAGCTACTACAGTTGCACCCTTATATGGTCGTCAAAAACAATGCATACTAATAAGGAACAATTTTCATACCGTCACTTGTATTCTGTTTTGGTTACGGTCAGACAAATTCCTATGGAGAATTATAAACCTGTCAAGTTAATTGGTACTTGTCTCGACTCCAAAATGCCGAGGTATCGATCATCGCACTGAGGCCTCAAGGCCTCAGGAGTCGGACAAGACCAGGAATCTTCGAAGTTCCTTTCGAGCTCAGCGATCGTTCAACTTGTTGTTTCTTGATTCCAGAGTTGTTGTGAGTCCATCACAGACGATGCGAATACCAAAATCGTCATGTTGAGTTCTTTTCCGTGGTACGAGCCAGACGGACAGCTTGCGATTACCATAGCGGTCATCTGTCCAGATTCCGTAGGCATTGTAAACTTGAGTGATAATCGACGCCCAAGTATGTTAAAGAACGTGAATGGTTACAGCATCATAAGTTAGTCGTTGTTATCCTGTGTACAGACCCTGATGCATGATGCACGACTAGGGACACATTACTATGTGACAAATCGAACATTCGCAAATTAAAATATGTGGCTTACAGTGGCAAAGGATTTTAAGCGAGCTGCGCCTCTATTCAGATAAGTACTGAACGGAAACTAGCATGAGGTACATTGAGTGGTACTGTCTAGTGCTGTGTGTTATAAGCGACAGTTGAACGAAAAGCGGGAAAACGGCTGTTGCCGCCGGCGATACGCCCTGAACTCGGGTAGTTCCGATTTTTCTTTCTGCAACAGGGTTCGATGAATTCGAAGCGACCGCTGAAGGCAACTGAAGGAGAAGAAATCAACTTGTTGCTCTAGTTATCTCCTGGCCCGAGGGGATATTATGAAGGGCTTATATGTCTCTATCTCTTTTGATCTTCGCTGTTGCCTCAGATGCTGAACTCCCGCTGATGGACTTTTTCGGCTCTTGACACTGCCAGACAGGCAGGCAGTGCAATGATGTCCAACTGTTTCCCCATCTCACTTACCACAAAGGTGCAATTAAGCGGCAAACATGTCCGTATGCCCTATTGTTCTTCCTATGGCTGAAAACTCAGGTTTTGGCACTTTGTCTTGGATACAGTGTACGAGTCGGGAACTTACTATGACTTGGCGTGTAGTCGCTTGGTCTTTTAGTTCGATATCAGTCTTGTTCACAGGGGGGGGCCATATTTCCGGTGGTCTTAAGTTCTAGATGATCCGAATGGCCTTAATGCGACATTGTGACACGAGTATAGTCCTGCTTTCTCTGGTGTACAACTCGGCATTCCCCAAGCATGGCTTACAGGGCCACATTGATATTGCCGTCGTTGCTGCCCTACCAGCAAAAATGTTCTTTTCTGACCGACTAACTCGCGTCATATACAGAGCCCCGATTTTTACGCAGCACTCTTTGATGTCAGAATCTAGTAATCACGACGAGCCTTATTCATTCTGTTCAAATCTATCAGATGTTTTGATTTTATGAGATCTATCATTATCGAAGCTTTGCGAGCTCTATTCTAAATCGTGAGTTTCCCTTGCCCTAACGGTACGTGTATGGAGCCAACGCTGACATGCCGAAATGTTCAGGTGGTCACCTGGCAGGGCTCTCACTGGATGATGGATTGGCGATTCAAACGCCCTCCAGGACAGTTTTCAGTTCTAGCCTGTGGCCTTCATTCAGCTGCTAGCTTCATGCTTCATGATTGTAACCTGTGGGGTTCTGAGGTACGCGACGCTTGATCCCGAGAAATCTTCACAGATCCTTGTGCCTTCCCTTACCGGAACATCCCGACCACTTGTTTATGATTGCCCGGTTCGGTGCATTGCGAAATGTTCAATCTCGCATAAGTAGCCTGTACGCGAGAGCGTAGGGTGACGACGAGAATTCTTTTCTAAAGTAAGTGATATTCCGCGGGCTTGACGGCGAAACCTCCCCTGGAATTGTATCATACAAATCCTGAGAACCTGATGTCGAAGGTTCTCTAGTCGGGCCCATGATTTGACAATAACTTTAGAAGTCTCCATTCAATGGAATCATGCTCATTGACTTTTTCCCTGCATCACAAAGGTATGATGATGTTGTTGCACCTATTTGCGTATCGTGGTATTTTTTTACTCTTAGCTCGGAACAGGGTTCACCGTGCTCCTTATCAAAAAGTATATAACACCACAGATCTTGACCACCTCGACCCTGCTGATCTCGAAATCCCTCCTCGATTGCTAACGCATCATCTATGCCGTCCCCTATCGTTGAAATGTCAGTATGGGAAAGGTTGTCTGCTATGACGGTTCTGCTGAAACAGACTGCAGATATGCGCCCCTCATGGTGGGAGCCTTTCTGACTTCAGTCCTGTATGGTGTGAGTCATTATTGCGCCCAGGTTACCGCATCAGAGCTGATGTTCATGTGAACATAGGTAGCTGTAATGCAGGTGAGCAGTAACTCAATGCAGATGTCCATCATTTTACACATGCTTTGTCCAGATGTACATCTACTATCAAACCTCGCAGAGGTACGAATTACATATCCCCTCGATGGTCATTGCGGTGCTGATATCATCGACAGGGATCCTCGATGGATGAAGTTGTTTGTAGGACATATTTCTCATCTCCATGAATTTTGATCGACACTCGACATAGATATTATATCTCTTACTAGCAGAGACGACGAACACTATCCTCGACATAGGTATTGTCTTCGAGCCATTGATTTTGAGATACGGTACATGCACATGTTCTAAGTTGGTTTCTCCATCAATCACGCTTTTTACGAGGTTCCGAAATCCCGACAATACGTTCGCCATTGCGTGAGTTGCGCTATTTTTGACTTTCGGGTTATATCCAACTGACATACATGTTAGTACTACGCGCAGGTAAGGCCTTCTCTCTTGGAATGGGTGCTCATTCTAACCGGCCCTGCAATTCACAGACGGGGTAATGACCGTACGTATATATCTTATTAAGAATTATTTTCCTCAGAAGACGACGACTATTTTATCAAAGGTCCTCATATCGACCCCTGTACAGCTGTTTATGGCATGGCGTATCGGAATCATTGCGCAGTCCAAGATACCCCCTCTTGTGATTGCAGCATTTTCGTTTACTGCTATGGGTATGTTCATTTCTTATATTGTTCCTGATCTCACCATCTCTCTTTAGCCGGCGGAATCTGGACGACGGTCTCGGTCAGCCTCAAACCTGATTACCACCAATTCGTAGAATTCCGGGCGGCGCCGACTACATGGCTAGTATCTTCGGCCGTCACTGATATAGTTGTATCCTGTTTTCTGGTATATTCGTTGGTATGTACGTGACTTCTAATGTCTAGCCAGCTCGCTAACAGGTTTTATCGAAGTCAAAAAAGCGGAATGTTTTCAGCGATGATATCATAACAAGGCTCATACGCTGTAACCTTCTCTCAAGCATCACGTCAAAATGCCTCGCTCATTGACCACTCGTAGACAACGTCCAGACTGGCACCATTACAGCTCTAGCTGCACTGGCTGACGCCATCGTATTTATAACCGATGACGTAAGTGTCGTCACTCTATCCGCGAGATAGTTTGCTCACGCCGATGGATAGGCATCTACCGTGTAAGGCACAGTCCGAGTTGCTGAACTCAATTGATAAACATTCTACTTTCTCAGATTTTTTAGCTGGGATCTCTGTATTGCGAAGCTCTATTCTCTCTCGTTACTGTCTTCGTGAGTGTCAAGATCCACTCTGGACATAGAGCTTCCTCTTATCTTCAAATTAGGCTGAACGCAAGGAGCAGCGCCAAAGCCTTAAAGGCCTATGAACCCAATCCACTCTTCAACACTTCAGAAGAGACATCAGCTTCATTGCATTTCAGGGTACGTTCCACCTGCGAATCTCTTGACGCTGATATTGAATCCCGGTGATTGCAGGCGCCACCCTTAATGACGGTGGGTTATTTAATTTTGCAAAGCGTCTGTCCTGACATATGTAAATGACCACAGATTACGCCCAACAACGACATCTATGAACTTCGGAGTGTGCCCAGTCCACACTCGAAAAGAGACTTGGAGGCAGCAGAAATATATGTTGAGCAGGAGGTGTTCAGCCGACGAGACAGTGAGGTTCGACCCCCTTCAGAGCTATGATTGTGATTACCCGACCCAGGCGCGGTCGGTTCGCGGAATGTGGCTTACACATTACTTGCTTATAGCCATCATCATCTTTAATATCCTCCCCGTTACTGTATCCACGTTTCGTAGTTAGGTTCGCCGAGATCAAGTCCGCTGTTCTTCAGCGTAAGCAGTTCTTGTTTGAACCTGCAGCTAAGTGCCAAGCATTTGTGGCTGAAATTGAGCCACGAACACTGTCCGGCACCGAGTCAAAGGACATCTGCTGTCAATGCCGTAGTCGTACATGCTTCAGACGTCCTTTCCTCCATGGGCGGCAAAATCAACGAATTGTTGTCCCTGAGCTCGTAACATCGTGATACCCGGAAACCGTGGCAACCAAGTATCGAGGTTTCCTACAACACAGTGCAGACCTTGATAGTTATTTCTACAAGTATTTTAGGATCTGCTCATCGCTGAACATTCTTATTCCGTAGTCTCACCTCGTACTGGCATGTTCGCAACGATCATCACAATTTCCCAACAGCATATCTCTGAATAGTTCCACTGCCTTGGTTCCAGTCGCGGACGGACTGATTACCGTGGTGTCCCTGCTCGAATTCAAAGTTCCAAGGCGCATGGCTGTATCATACGTTACACTAAGTCTTCTTGTCTGACAGTGCATTTACTTCTTCAAGTTAGTTGGTATTCAAATCAGAACAATTAAAACCATCGCAGACACGCACTGCAGCAAGGTTAAGGATGTTCTTGTGCTCCTTTAGTATACCTGTCAATTCTACCGCGCGTTACGGAACATATTACTCTGAAGTCTCTCTCACGTTCTCAAAAGATAACCAAGTAAAAATACTCCTCCTTCCTGCCCGAGGATCTTTCGACGCATCAGAAAGCTTCCAACTACTCGTCAATTGTGCTGGATGCTGTAAGGTCAGCATAATAAGCTCGGACACAACACACAACCAAGGTTTCTGAACGCGCTGTTCTACCCTTCCTGGGCGAACTCCAAAGTATGTGCTGCTTTTTCTTACATTTATAATGCTAATTCACAAGGAATTCAGCCCTATACGGGCGTTATGATGGTGGGAGGTCTACTTGCCTCCAGTGGGATATGTAGTACTTTCTTGCTTTATTTGGTTGGATACGCTTCCACTGAAAGCGTTGAGTTGATACAATCACAATTCTCTCTCGGGTAGATAATACTGATAACAAGTGCGGACATATCATATCACAAGGTCACAGGTCGGCCAGGGACGCCGCTCATGCTTCGCCATACAAAGTCTTCTCCAACGTTCCGCAGATGTCTTGCCAACCCTTCTGTATTTTGGCCTTATATCTGAGATCTAGGCACAGACACTCAAACAGCGTTTCAAGCCGCATGTCATCTTCCAGCACAACAGAACTAGGATTCAATTTTCGCGTACACAGTTTAGGAACTACTTCCCCGCTAACTCTGTAATTTTGGCAGCAATAGCTATTAACCACGATCAGTCACACACACATTGGGGCAATCTTCGGAAATCCACATACATTGTGGGTCTAGGCCCTGATGATTGATTTGCTCCCAAAGACCGCCTGAGCCTGGAGGAGAGACTCTGTTAGCCGCGGATGAGCGTACTAAAACCCAAAACGCACCTTCTTTAGTCGCACCCATGTAGGCATACTTGGGCGTAAGCCCCCGCTCGAGGAGCCATGTACCGTATTTGGATCCAAGCTGTTGTATTAGTGAGTAAAATGGCAATGAAGGCCGCTCCTGACGACCGTTCAGCTTCATTGGCATTGCGGCTCCAGGAGCGGGGAAGCCAAAAAGAAACTGACCCCAGTTTTTTTGTTAAATGTTTCCACGATGAGAACGAAGGGACTCGACCCAATCATTTTCGCTACCTGTTGAAAAAAGATATTGTCACCAGTGAGACATGGTGAACATATCCGGGCCTGTATTCTCACCTCCTCATCCACAGAGCTTAGCGTCGGTTTGTTTATCAAACCCACATCGATGCCCTTCTGCCGGCAGCGTAGTACAGCATCCCACGACCTATAGAGCATCTCGCCAAACGACACGACATACCCGGCTTTGCCTGCGGCGATGACCTCGTCCTTGCCTGGGATGAACTCATAGCCGTCGCCAAAGTACTTGCTTTTGCCGTCCTCTGCGAGTATGTAAGGCACCTTGGAGCGGTTGGAGAAGACGAATCGCAATCCACGGTCGAAGAAGATGCGTTTGACTATAGCGATCATTTGGAGGGGATCGGCAGGAAAGTACAAAAAGGATTTGAACTCTTCTAAAGCGTTATCAGTGAAAAGCGAATTGATACCAAAGTGACAAGTATTGTCGGCCTAGTTGCGAGGTTAGCGACAGGGTTCATTAACGAGCACGCAAATATTCACCATTTCGTCAACGCCAGAATGGGAGAAATGGCACAGGACGTTGGAAAAGTTATAGCGGGCCATGCTGATTTCGGATATCACCATCTCGATGAAGGCAGAGAAGGTGGAGAACACTCCAAACTTGTTAGGGTCGAAACCGAAACCGGCAGCAGCAGAGAAGTTACCGCGCTCCATGACACCAGATGTAACGAAGACCTCGGGGTGCTTCTGGTGTATGGCTTTCAGACCAGTGGAACCTTCCAGGTCACCTGTCATGCTATAAGATATGGAAAACGTAGATATTCAAAGAAACATACTGTCAATAACCATGACCTTTTTGGAGGCTTCCTCTTTGCTGAGCCCGTCGAGAACAATGTTGACGGCTTCACCAAAAGTAGTCCGATTGGCGCCAGTCTCTTTGGTCGAGCCGATATGAACATACGGCTGCTGTTTGGCCTTAAGTTGGTGCAGCATGTCGGCAAAGCCTCCACGCCCTCTGGATTCGAGGTACTTGATGGCGGATTCAACGGGGACAGCGTCGTGTCCTTTCGGTTTTCCCTCTATGTCAATGATACCTGGAGCCATCGGACGTTTAGAGACAACAGCCGCCGGCCCGGGAGTGGTGACGACAGTGCTGATGGCGCCCCACAGTGCATCAATGTCTTCTCCTTGAACAGTAAGTACATTGAGACCGTGTCCTTGAAGCGTCTTTGTTATGTTGAATCCCTTGAGATATTCGGAGGGATGACCAGAGATGGTAACGTCATTGTCGTCAATGAGTAGCTTGATGTTCAAACCTTTGGCTACGGCGAGTCGAGCTGCCTCGGCGTCGTTACCTTCTTGCTGAGAACCATCGGAGCCTAAACAGAAAACAGTTTTGTCCTTGTTAGCAAGAACGACGCCGTTGACAAAAGGCCTAGAAGAAAAGGGTCAAATAGCCTCTCAACGAAAATTGACATCGGCTATTTACCACATATGTCCGAGACGTCCGGATGAGAATTTGACTCCGGGAGTGAGACCCAGTTCAGGATGGCCGGGCAATTTTGAATAGGCCTCTCGGTAATGTAGAAGCTGCTCTGCAGGCAATGCGCCCTCTAAAACGGAAAGAATGTATTGAATTGCGACGCGGTGGCCTAGGAGAAAGAAATTTAGAAGAGTAGAGGTTATACGCTACCAGTGAAAACGCACCTGCTTCATCAAATAAAATAGGTACATAGTTGGACTGGGAATGGTTGAAGAGAGCGAGAGCGATACAAACTTCCGGAACGACATCATAGGCGCCACCTAACGATTATATCAGTACGACTAGACCCATGGCTTCGTATCCTTACCTGTATGCCCACTGAGTCCTCGAGCCGCACCAGTAGTGGTGAATAGAACAATAGCATCTCGAAGTAATTGGATGTTGGCCTTCAATGCAGTCCTCTCGTCATCGTCGAGCTTGGATTTCGCTGGATCCAGCGCAAGCCTGTAAATCCAGTTTAGTGCCTTTGGAGGCCAAGGTGAATAGAAGCTACTTTTTGAACTTGGTCAAGTCGATGGGGAACTTGTTGTCCATTATATGGATGCTGGTGGTAGCAAAGCAAACATTAATTGCTCGACTCTGCTTGTGTTTCACTTTCGATGCTTACACGAACTGACGATGATGAAAACAATGACAGCAACATTATTTATTTTATGACGACAGCGACACGATCGAGTTCGGCCTATAGCTACGGCAGTGTTTAGTATCGTATCGTATTGTAATAATTGAATTATAGCGCTCACCTCTTGCAACACAACAAGGACTGGATTTGCGCTCACACATTTCGATTGACTTGATAACTAAATTAAGTAAACCAGTTGCGACGGGAGCAGGCTTAATATTCCCACGGATGTGCCGAGCCGCATCTTCTTCCCGAAGCTGTTCACAGCCAACCCGCATCTACCGAAAATTCAGGAAACAGTCCAATGATCTCAGCCGTCCAGTCCTGGGCAGCTTTCATTTGCTCCTCCGGCGCAATTCCCTCCAAGTCGTCCTTGAAATCAAAGTAGCGCTGTATCGTGAGCAAGATCCGTGCATTCTCAATATTTAACCAGATTTCGATGTTGCGGAGCTTGTCTGAAGACGCTGAGGCCTGTGCGTCACAGTATATCGCTTCTGCTCTTTGCTTCGCCGCGAGACATTGCCTTGATGTATACTTCTCAGACGACGCTCCGGGGCTTATGCAACTAGACAATGTACGCACTGAGCGACGATCGACAAGCAATACTGCAGGACAGCCGTTTCTTCGGTGGATGGTTCTAACAAAGCGCGGCGATCCTCCAGATATGCATTGATTTGGGCGAATTTCGATTCAATAGACTGTTAGACCATGAGAAACCATTAATTAGTACTGGGCTTGCTAGTGAAGCGTACTTTCAGTCTTTTAGTCTTTTTGTCCTCTTCTATGCTCATGTGCCTGGCCCACCACGCGCAGCAGAATATTACAGGAACCGCGAAGCGCTGGTATGGACCCAACTGCACAAACAAACCGACGATATAGGTGTATAAGCTTGCGCTGGCGACCTGGTATTCAGCTGGTTCAGAAAATGCCAGTACCGTATCCGGCGCGACATACCAGTGCAATCGAGTATAGGCATTTCGAATAAAATCTCTTTGCCATCGTGCGGGTACCTTTGCACGGTAATAGGCGACTCGAAAAAAAGAGAGTGAAAGGTCGTTAGCAGCCTGAACGTTGAACAGTTTATGTACTTAGATCGAAGCTCCTCTGTACGTGATCATGTTTTGTATTGTATTCAAATGCTTATGCAAACGAACATTAGCCTTTCCACTAGTTGTCAACCTCAACACTGGTATTGACACCCATCGTAATGAATCCAGCAAAGCCCTGGTTAATAACTCCGCCAAGCATTTCCAACCTGTTCGCTATTTTTGTTAGCATGGCTGACACTTATACTCACTAACCAAACTGACCTGAAAACCGGGTTATATTCGCCCTCCGGACCATGGGAATCCTCAAAGATGTTGAGGGAGTCGCGCCAGTTGCGTGTCCGGCCAACGGTGTCTTTGATGGGATTCGTCGTATAGGGATGCATCTACAGGGATGTTAGACCGGGGTTGAGGAATATGGACCTAAAGGCGTACCTTGTCAACCTGTGAGTTGATCTCGTCGTCGAAAAAGAATTGTCCGACGTGGACAAGTTTGCCAGCCTCGAATGTGCCATTTAGAAGGGGAGTCCAGCTGGGGAAGACCTTGGCATGGATATGGGAATAATAAAGAGCAAAGTTTGAGATGGAAGTACGTTATGGAGACTGAAGAGTGAAGGCAAATTTTGCTTTCTGGTAGTAAAAGTCCCACGCCCTTTCACAGACGCTGATATCAGGGCTGGAACTGTAGTATCAAGTATTCTCTCTGGATCCAAGGCCTTGCAGATGATTTGTATACACGTCGGTTAGGCATAGCAAGGAATAACTAGTACGTAGGCCACAAAAATATATAATGCTACGGACATATTCAGCAACGATTATCCCATACTAGGCAACCTCTTCGGGCTGGTCATTGTGTACTTCAAGGGGCGAACCAGCAAATTCACCACAAATGTTAAGGACCACCGAGTAAGTAATGTGGTTCTGCAGAGTTTCGTCGTCAAAGGGCTTCGTGACTTTTCCGCATTCTTCGCGTAGCGCATGTGAATGCTGATCATAGAACCCATCCATGAATTGTTGACGAAGGTCCCTTAACCAAGGCCGAAAGTCAGTGAAACCACTATTCACTGCGGAAAAGCCACGTGACATTATGAAATTGCCTTTCTTGTCATTCAAATCATCACGACCGGCTTTATACCAGCTGTCGAATGAGGAACGGACTTGCGTGCGTTCCAGGATTGAGCCTCCAGCGGGGTCTTGTTTAGCCTCGACTTTGTAACGACAACAGAGAAGGAGGATGATGTAGAAGATGGACTCGACATCGTGTCGATAGAGGTGCTTGGGTGGTTGCCCATTTTCGTCGTTGATCAGGAGCTCATGTGCCATGTATGGTAGCGTACCAGTGCGCTGACGCGATGAAGGGCCAGTCTCATGTCGGTAGGAGGACAAGTCAAAGTCGTTGAGGACTCCACGTAAATGACCATCGACAGTTCGGCGCCACATAATATTCCCGGGACTGATATCACGGTGAAGGATTCCTGGGTGATCATACAGCCATTTGTGAACTACGGTGACCGTCAGAACCTGCTAGGACAAAGAAAACAATGGACGGACTCTGCAAAATATCGAAAAAGACCTGAGCGTAATCTTCAACCGTCTGCAATTCTTCGAGAGGATACAACCTCTCCTGGACGGTGACTCGGCAGACGCGTTTTTCATACTCGAACTTTTCCTCATCTGCGAATAAAGCCTTTGCGAAAAATGCCACGAGATTCGCTTGGGTGGAATCCGCATCGTTGCCGAAGTCTTGAGAAAGAAGAATGTCGGGTAAATGGTCTAGCGCCCAGTCCGGCCTTTTCCCTTGCCGCATGGATCGCGACTTCTCTCTGGCTTTAATGACAAACTCTGCCTCTGATCTTCGACTGGCAGCAGGCCAACTGATCTTGACGACCAGTTCTTTACCCTTCCACTCCTCGTGCTCCGATGTCGCCTCAACGACACAAGTATCCCGACCGACAATCCCAGGCTGACGCGATATAACCCGGCCAAGCGTGACCTCAACCTTCTTATCATCTTCACCTAGCTTCAGCTTCAGCTTCACCCCAACGAAGATAGCCGTCTTGTCGAAATTCTCCTTGTCCTTGGGGTTGCCACACCTACCCACGTACACCTTGTGATTCTCGATGAGCGCTCTGTCATCGCAGAATTCTTCTTGGATGCCCCGCTGCTTCAGAGTAAGGCGACTCAATCCGATGAGCATTGCCGCGAACTCATCCGTCACTACCTCTTCGATAGTCTTCGGCCGCTTGCCATGCGATTTAAACATGTCAATTGGTTTGCACACAATGATGACGGAGCGATCGTAGTAGAGGGGTTGTATGCGTCCTGCCGCAACAAGAGCACCAATGCAGTGCGTCCGAAAACCTGCGCTAGATAGCATCTCGAGGGCATAACGACCACACTGGAGCCGGACTGCACGTCGCGCTCGGGATTCTTTTGCTTCTTTCTTTGTTCTATCCCCTGGCACACTCCCTTTTACAGAACTGAGTGACGCCGATTGCTCTGTCCGTTTCCTGGCCTCCGAAACTTCGGGCGTCGTTCCAGAGCGTGGATACTTGGACCGGACACGAGTGTCGTCTTCCAAACGACGCTTGTTCGATGCGGAGCTCGTGCGCGACTTGACGGGGGGTAGGATGCTCCCAGGGTCTCGATGTACAGTGGTTTTTCCCCGCACTTTTCCCCGAGGATCTTTCTTGCCTGAATGAAGGGGATTAGTCAGAAGAATGTCCAAAAAGCGGAGGCTTACCAGCTGTTAGAACTCTGTACTTAGCATCGGTCCCCTCGTCGAGATAGTATGCCTTGGGCTTGAATTCCTGCCAATGCATTGCTTGTGCCCACGAAAAGTTATACTCTGGGCCTTTGTCCTTCATGTTGTCAACCACGTTTCCGGAACTGTTGAACATGGCGCGAAGAACACCCAAGGTGTCAGGGACGTTCTTTTCCAAACCGCCGTCAACTGGCTTCGCGTCTTGTCGATACATTCCGAGTGCAGAGTCTTCAGTGGCACCGAGAAAGTCGAACGCGCTGTTACACATCAGGCTATGGGGATGATAGAATGCTTTTTCCCCAGGCTTGCGCTTATTGCATAATGCAACGTAGGTTTTTACACGATTCTTGAATACAGCGTTGTCCTTGAGGGCTTTGATTTCGGATTTTATGTCGTCATTTGTCCGCCAGTCGTGAGGAAGATGGAGAATATTAGTGAAATAATGGTCGGCGGACATGAAAACGCGGTTTCTGAGATCTTCTATGATGTACCGCTCGAAATCTGCGACAAGATAATCCGCATTGGCAGCTGGATTCACGGTTTGGGCGTGATTGCTGAGCGGGGTGCTCTGCACAGAGGAGCGCAGTTGTTTGAGAACAGGCCCATTTGGAGGCGGAGTTTTTCTCTGTGAAGTGGGGGGAGAAGAAGAGGAGGATGACGATGACGACGACGAGGATGAGGGTGAAGATGAGGAGGATGAAGTATCCTCCGAAGAGCTGGAACCGCTCGCATTGGAAGGCATACAAGCTCGAGGAGGGTAGAGCGACAACAGGGGGTCAAGGAAGAATCCTGCGAAAGCCATTTTGAACTGCTTTTAGGCTCGGTCGCGTAGAACAACGGTGGTGGTGACAAAGTAAACTTTCGGAAACATGTGGTCATGTGGCGTCGATTGTATTTCAATTTGTCACAACGAGCGGTGCGGCTAAAATCTGGCGAAGGGCCATACCAACTATATATTAGTACTGTAAGGTGTAAAGTGATGGTTTTGTCTGAATCCGACGCCTCTGAAGCATCCAACATTCTTATCATCTCTTTTCCTTCATATACTGAGTCACGGCAACCCTCCCGACAGTTGAAATAGTATCATCCTGCTACCAAATTAGTTGCCGATTATTCGCTTAAGGCCAAAGTCGATTTTGAGCGCAGCAACTACTGTGTCCTGTACACATTACTAACTACTATTTTTTGAACAGTCCGAACGAACCGCCCAGAAATGCCTCGCGTCAAGTTGCGATAAGCCGAGTCATAGGCAACACTAGAGGGAGGGGGGCAAGCCACCCCCCCGTTTCCATCAACGTCGCTGAATTAGCCTGCGAGGCACACCTTCTCATCACTGATTTCCTTGTCCTCCTTTGACAAATAACCTGCCGTTTACATAAATCATTCGCAATTCAGCTCTGGGTGGTCGAAGTCGTTGTCCATCACGAGTCCAACGTTGGCCTTGGATGTCTGGCATACAAATGGATCCAATGAGTACAACTGATTGGTCCACATGATATACCGTTTTTTCAATGTCGCAAAGGTGAATTTTCGATTCTCTCGCAGCATGAAAATGACAGCAAGAGACACGGAGTGTCAGCTGCTCGAATTGAAAACTGCGATCAGTACATTTGGCTTTTTTTTGTTCATCTGTTACTCATATCCTTATCGTATATAAAGACGCGTTAATCCGCATGACGCCAGGTAGGGCCGTTGACTAAGAGTGATATGAAAGGTGTGTCTTTCTCTTTGCTGTGAACTTGAGTTCGTCTAATCAACCGAATCGTAGCCTTGGCTCCACTCTCAGATGAGAATGACCCTGGCACATTCAAATACGAGCCTCTCCCAGATGACGACGTCCGAACCTAAGTACAGATTGGCGGCTCGTAGTGTCCGCTTACTTCCTATCTCAAGCGACGACTCGAGGATATTCCCGGTTCTCCTCGGCCTGTGAAAGAGACGGGAGACCAAGCCTACCAAGGAATGGCGCAAATTTGACGAAATGTTGTTGCAGCAAGTGGTGTAAGAAGTAGCCAGTGCTGACAAACTCGGTCACTTCCGGGATTTCCTTCCTCGACCCTTCCTCCTTCACCTTTGCAACGTCGTGGTGGCCAGCTGGTCTGTAGGGGAATGTGTGTGTAGCCTTCATTTTACTGATGACTTGCTTTTCAGTCTTTTACGCCATTCTTGTAATGAACACTACTACCTCTTGACACCATATCCATCTTCGTTGAGGTCATAGTATTTATCGACAAAGGACTTTACAAGATAATGGAAAGGTAGCAGGAACTTGATGATTGAAAAATCTTCCTCCCAGGTATGTGCTACTACCTTCTTATCTTGTACTGAAAAAAACGAATAGTCGGTCACCTTTTACGAGTTCTTCCACGACCCAGAATTCGAGTTAAGCAAAGCTGACGCTCTGTAACAATGCTGAGAGATGATCAAACCCTCAATACCACATCTTTTTTTTTTTTGATCCATTTTGTACTATGTACTGGTATCATATACGCTAGCGTATGTTCGGATTATACTACTGTCCTATGGTAATTTTCCGTATTCAATGCTTTGTTAATCCGTAACTGGCAAGCATCCCGTGCTCATTGCGAAAATTTTTCGCGACCATCTTCCTCTGTGCCATCATGCCGGTAGAGTATTAAGATGGTGGACCGACCGCTTCTCTTCTGGCTGGGTCGTCTACTTTCCTCTCCCTTCTATGAGTTCTCATCCTCATCCATTTCTACCTCTGGGCATTGTCCAAATGTATCTTCAAATCTCCTCGTGTTGTTGAGGTATCTGATGAGGTGTGGTATGTTTCTTTGGACTGCTAAGATATGTTTGACCATCATAGCTTTCTCTGAGATGCCCATGGCATGTTGCATGGTTTTGCACTCATTTCAGTAAGCTAGGCATCAGATAAGGAAGTGGTGTGTGGATTCATTAGAGTGTGAGCATTTGGTGTATGTTAAAGAGATGGTGGTTGAGCCTGATGTGACTGGTTTGAAGCTACATCATGATGCTAGTGATTTTGCATGGTAAGGAAGTGGCCAATTTCCTGTACCAGCATGCAGTCTGTTGTGCAGATGCTGAGTCTATGTTTTGGAATCTAGAGAAGTGGGGTGACTTTCTCCAGGTTCTATCAGCTTGTTGTTTCTGCTTTGCCTAGAATTCCTGGAGTAGTGAAGTTTTGTTGATTGGTATTGGTTTTTGCAGTGGCACTGGTATATTCTGCTGCTCACTGACATTGCCTCATGCTGCCACCTTCACTTCTTCATCTGCTATTTCATTGCCTGCAATGCCTTAGTGCTCAGGGACCCATTGAATCTTGATCTTGATATCCAGATGTTGCAATAATAGCATGTCTATGTGTTAGGAATGTGCCAATTGATTGGGCTTGAGTGCACACATGGAGACTGACAGAGTGCATGGGAATCAATGAAGCTATTGGCAATGTCACCCTTGAGTTGAGGCCTAAGGATTTGGATTGACAGAATAGGGTTCCATTGGAGAAGTGAAGAGGAATATCCTTTGGAGAAGAATCTGATGGACAAGATAGAGAGAAGCTGAAGTGAGCACAAAGTGTAGATGGCTATCCAAGTTGATATTTGAACTGAGTAGTTACAGTGCTTGTACATGGTTTATATACTATTAGTAGTTACTTCTGAGTTGGGGTCCATTGGATTCTATTGTCAACTGTTCACTACCCTGTTGGGGGTCTAGATACTACAATATGAAATATGGATGTGAAATGATAATGGTAAAATGAAATTAATAGGTAATGGGAAATGGGCAGAGTCTGATGGAACTTGGTGATTGAATTTTAGGTTGGTCAATGTGAAACAGAGGCCAGCAGCATGCACATAATAACACCACTAGATGCTACTGTCAGCACAATGACTAAGTATCTATAGGGTACCAGAGAGAGGATTCTTGAAAAAAGCTATAGAGTATGAGGTATTGGTTTATAGCATCAATTTTCCTACAAATGAGGTTGGTGGATCCAAAAATCTATGAGGTATGAGGGAGTATGGGTTATTGGAGGTATGGATTATTAGAGAGTCAACTATACACACAATGTTTGTAAAAGAAAAATTAGTATGCAGAGAAGTATACAAATAAAACTTATTTTCATCAAATAACTCTCTGCCTTCTTCTATCAGCATTATATCATCCAACCTCACCTTTTTAAGAGTAACCTCACTCTTCTCACCACTGTCCACTATACTGTTTGACTTTACTTTTCTCTTTCTCTTTCTCTCCACTAGCACTGTTGCTTTCTTCTTACTCTTCTGAACTTCTCTCTACCTCTCCAGAGTGCCTACAGTGTCCTCTGAATCAATTTTCCCTTCTACTCCTGGATCATCTCCTACTGCTTCAGATGCTGCTGTGCTTCATGCCAGCCTCACTAGCTGCACACCATGTCTGATCAGACCTACACCCATCTCTGCCAACATTCTCCTGTGCATATATTCAATGTTCTCTATTAGTGTCCATATAGAATCAGCACAGTTGCACTCCTTCTTCTCTGCAGCCTCTCTTTCTATCCTTCTCCTTTTCTCAGCCTTTGCTAGCCTCTGTGATTTCTCCTTCAACCTCAATCTCTTTTGCTCCTGCTAGAGCAATTCTCTTTCAGCCTCCTTTCTTGCCTCTTGCATCAGCTTCTCCTGCTCCTTTCTTTTCTCTGTCACCTTCTTCAAAGCCTCCATCCTCTCTGCATGGCCATGCACTTGACCTTCATTCTCTCTTTCTTTTTGGCTTTTTCTTCTTCCTACAACTCATGCTGTTCCACAGCCTCTGCATATTTCTCTTTGGTTGCTAGCTGCTCCAGATGAAAAGCTTTCATATTGGCTTCATTGAGTTCCTCTGGAGTCAGGACAGCTACATATAGCTCTGGTGTCACAGAGAGTTGGTAGGTAGTGATCAATGATATCTGAGATAAAATATGGGGATGATAGTTGTAAAGGTTCAAGTTGTAAAGCTCTCACAGTTCTAAAATTTCTTCTATGTGCTTTTCACTGGCCATCAGAATCAGCACTCTTGAGAGCAAGAATACTAAGGGGAGAATGCTGTTATACACATGCTAGCAGTCTCTACTTCACATCAGCAACTTCTGCCAATAATCACATGTCCAACCTACAAGTTAGTGACAGTTTCCACTAGATCACACTTATCTTTATCATACTATTCTATTTGAATTACCTTCTAAGTATTTTATATCTTTATTTCATATCACTGTCTCTGACTCAGTAGTATTATCTAGTATCAGAACCCATTGAACACTGACTCAGAATTAGTTACTAGTATATGAGTTTCATACAATCATAGTAGATACTCAGTTCAAATATCAACTTAGATAGCCAATACTCTCTATGCTCACTTTTGAGTCCTCTGTTATCCAATAGACTCCACTCTGAAGGATATCTCTCATATCTCTCTCTGACAGACTCTTTTCTATTATTCTAATTTCTTGAGCTTTGACTGAAGAGTAACATTGCTAATAGCTTTGTTGATGCCCATGCATTCTGTCAGTTTCTGTACATGCATTCAACTCCACCTTTTGGCACAGTCTTAATGCTATTCTACCTTTTGAAAGTTTCATTATGGCTTGAATATTAGGCTCAGGCTGCATGTGATTAACTGACATGTGATAGACTGATGTGGCTTCATGCTTGAGCCATCTGTCAGAATTCAATGTGAGTCAATCGGATATGCTTCAAGGCTTTTTGTGATTAGCTTAAGAGTAGAATGAGAGTGTATAAACTTTAGCTCGAAGCTGAGGATTACCAGCATGAGCATTCCTACTTAAATACTGTACAGAGTTTGCTAATAATATCTCTTACTTATTGTGCATTTCTTGGTCCTTTGTGCTCTTGTTCTTGGGTGT